TTTTTTTTTTTCACGCTTCGCCTACGCGCGAGAACGAAGCGCTAGCGTTCGCTGGAGAAGATCTGCTGCAATACCTAGCTTGGCCGGAGCTGGGCTGTGGAGACAGCCATCAGGGTCTAGTCGTCAGTACCAGGGAGAACAGCGGCTGCTTTTCAAACATTCAGTGTATTTGTCAAGTCCATCATCCTCCTCTCTGTCACCCAGAGCTTTTTGGGGCGGGGTGTGGGAGGGGCTCCCCACCTCTCATCAGCGTAGCTTGGAGTGCTTCTGGGAAGCGCGCGAGCATTGGCACATCAGGCACTTCAGTGACGGAAGGCCGGCTGCTACGAGATTGCTGGCACAAAGACCTCCCTCTCCTCCAGATGATGGCTGGGCTACAGAACGTCTTTAGAAAGCGGGAGTTTCTCACCAGGATCATCTGAGGAGTGGAGTTCCTTCCAGGCAAGCAGCAGTGTTGGCATAGAAGGTTCAGAAAGAAAATTCCTGTGTTGAGAAGAGCATTACCTCTTTCTTAACCACGTATGTATCCAAATGGCTGGAGACATCTGCTGCAGCAACGCTCTCTGCATTTAAAGCGTGTCGGCATGGAAAGAAACAAGTAAAGATCATTTTCTTTTACTGGGAAGCTCAGAGAGACAAGTCTGTCTCAAACCTGGTAGTAAATAAGCGTTGTGGATACGGGAGAGGACTCCATTTGGGCACTCGGCCTTCAAGATCCTCAAGTAGAAGAAGATTGTTATTGTGAAATCAAATGGAAGTGCACTGTCTGAAGTATCAGATCCTTCACAAAGGCAAATTAAAAATGGCGTGTGGGCTAAAGCAGTGGAACACGGTAATTCTCTCTGGCACAGCTTCTTTGTCTCTTATTTTCCTTTCGGAATGAGTTAATGGAGAGCAAGAATTTCCTGCCGGGATAAGAGTTTTCTAGTGGTTACCATTAGTAATAATGTTGGAATCGGAATGCTATCGTCTTTCTTGTCATCCTTCAGTCCCAAATAAACAACTGTGCAGCCGTTGTCTGAATTTATAAAGTCTCTGTTGTTGTCCTGTAGGAAGGTTATGCTCCGCAGGCTCAGAGAGTGTGCTGGATTTCCGAGACACGCACACAAAGTTCTCTGCTCATTTCACGCTTCTGGGTTTTCCCGTGTCACGGTTGCACAACAGGAGACTGGCAAGTCTCTATCCAACCCGTAAATCTTGTATGGCAGCCGGATAACATGGAGCGAGTTGAACTGAAAGGATGTCAAATTTGTCCAGCTGCTCCAGCGATTCCTGTTGCAGCACGTGCAGTACGATGCTTCTAGCATGGAAGGGAATTGAAAAAAGGGAGAAGCTGACAGAATAAGGAATGCTTTCTAGTACTTTTCATGGATTCACACGAAATAACTTTCTCTTTGGAAATGCGTTAAATCCAGCTGTTCCCTCCTCCAAACCATGCATGGATTTCTTACTCTGGGAAATCCAGGATGAACTGGAAAAACAGTGTGAGAAAAAATGTTTCTGCCAAGCTATAGTACCCAGTTTCATTTCTGAAAGGGAAAACTTCAGGAAACAGAAAACCATCCGTCTTTAGTTACTACTTAGTGGCAAAAGAAAAAAAAAAAAAGAGTGTGGAATGGAAGACTGTGGTGAAATCCCAGCAGAACTCTCTGTACCGAAAAGAAGATGCCGCGGCCCACAACCAGAGCTACACGGCAGGTAGAAGATGGTTATGGCCTGGCATGGGTCCTTAAACTGCAAAACTTGATGGACTTTTTTTCCCAATAACTCAGATGGCAGTTTGATGGCATGTTTGGGAGCGGGGAGGGCAAACGAGAGGAGGAGATTTTGGACAATCTCCTTTTATTTAACTTTCTTTTTAGCGTAATTTAGTAGGAAACAGAGAGGAATTTTGCAGCCTCTTACGACCTGCAGAAGTGCTTGTTGCCGCTCTCTCTGCGATCCTTGGTATAAATCAGAATGGTGGTGGATCCTAGATCGAGAAAAAATTAACATGTTAGTGGCAGACTGTCTTTAACAGATGGTAAAAGTGCATTTCCGTGTAGGAATTTCAGTTCTTGGCAGTCAGCAGCATTGCTGCTTTTGTGAAACTGTGGTTATGACCCTCTTGTGTTCCTCGCTGAAGTTAAATTAACAACAAACAAACAAAAAAGCAGATGCTGTAGTTATGTTGGAGGAAAAATGCACAGAGGCAGAAGTACTTGATCTTGAAGAATTGAAGACCTTTGGAAAAACGAGGCATAAATCATGTTAATTTATTTGTAAGTAATTTTAGTAGTTAAGTCTGCCATTCTACATGCTTGACTGCAGCCAGTGTACCGGTAACAGAAGGTGACGCTATTGAAATCAAAGTACGAGTCCTTGGGTGGCCCGCGCTGGGCGGTTAATGTTTTCCAAGTAATTGCAGTCGTTCGAAGTTCATGCACGATAATTACCTAGTATGCCTCTCGTCATCCTGAAATGACAGCTACGTGCTGCTTAAGCGCATAGTCCCCCACAACACTGCCCAAAAGGCTGTTGCCTTTGGCGTGGGAGTAAATCAGGAAAGCTGCTTCAGCTTCTCTTGAAGCATACTCACCTGTGGCGACGGTATTTCTGCAGAGCGCTTTGGCAGAGTGAAGATATATAATGGAATTTAAAAAAAACCAACAAAATCTCAAGAGGGGGGGAACAACACGGGAGCAGAAAACGCAGAACTACTATTTTGAATGGAATCACGTGTTGCGATGATACGCGCTCAGTAGGTCAGTGCTTGTGTTTCAGCCAAGGGGGTGTGGCGTTCCGCTGCTTTTGGCTGGCCGAAGGTCCCAATGGAACAGGATCACCCATTGCCTTGAGGCCTCTTTATCCAAGAAGTGCGTTCCTGGAAGCAAGTGTAAACTCACTCCGATAGGCAACCTACGTGGTGCAATTAGTGTCGTTAAATGGCAAGCGGTGTGACATGGCTTAAATCAGCGGTGATGAACGTAGAGAGGAGTCCCCAGCTATTTGGTCACTGTTTGACATAATGTAGTCGAGGTGGTTACTGATAATTTAAGTGAATATAAAGACTATATTTTATTCCGAGAGGCCTCAATCTCAATTTTTAAAAACTGAGAAATACGAGATTCATCGAGTAACTATTGATGAAGGGTTTTTAATACTGTCTTTTCTATGGCATAGCGACAAAGGGGTGAGTGAGAGAACGGTGTTTGTAAATTGCTGAAAAAATGTTCCTTTATGTTGGTGAGAGGGGAAAAAAAAAGGCCTTTAGATTGAAGAGTTTGTCTGGGCCAGTTGTGTTGTTAATTAATAGAGGTATCACAGTGGTTGTGGTCTTGATTAGGCTCGAGCATACTTTGTTTTGGAGACTCTACAGATGTATTAAAGATAGCCTTTGCTGAAAGCAGCTTATGATTTTAATTGTTTCCAAGCTCAGTACCTGCATGGGATTAACCTAATCATGTAAATAGTCCCTTGGAAGCATCTGTGATTGCTGCTGGGTTTAAAAAGAAATACGTGTTTTAAGAGTTTGCAGGATTGGGTCCCCAGTGCCAGACTGGATATAGTGAATTCCCTGGTGATAGATCCCTGTGAAAAATGCTTCTGCGAGAGTCACAGCAATACCCTTGAAAGTGAGGTTTTGTTATTATGTAAACAGAGGACAAAACCTTTTTTAAAAATAATGGGGACAGAAAAGAAAGAAACGGCAAGAAAATGCTATAGAGGTCACGGTTCTCTGAAACAATCTGTTGAATTCTACAGTATTGTGTAAGTTGTTTTTTTAAAAAAAAAGCTTTGGTTCATAGAATAAAGTTATCTTTGGACCATTTGCATTTGATGTATTTGCTAAATGCAGTTAAAAGTGTATATTACGAACAGTAGAATGAATGAACACCATAGTTATGTTCAAATCCTTTACTTTTAATTGAGTGTACTGTAGCATTTGATTTCAGATGTGACCAGCATCCCCTAAAAAAAAAAAAAAAAGGCGCCCAGTGGGAACTTTTGCAAACTTAGATTGTTTCTTGTAATAGGTTCTCAGCAAGCACAACCGTGGGCATGCTGTTTCTGCTGAAAGATCTGCAAAGTAAATACACCTGCCCTCCAACTGCAAATATAATAATACCTCTGTTATTGTTAAACTGGCACGCAAAACGTATTTATGTTTGACAGTTACAGATGCCAAATCCTGCAAACTGCGTAGGTTAGACTCATAATCAAAGAATACGTGTCTTTTGGGGGGTTTCTGCAGTGTTTTTCCAGTAGGGAGCTCTTAAGGGTCTCGGAATTGTCCTGTCACGCAAACGGGTGTCGCAGTTGCGTATCACCATTCTGGCCGACCTCCTTCTCTAGTAGGTCTGCGCGCTGTCCTCGGTCTTGCTGTCGTGGGATCACAAAGCCTGTTTACAGGCCCGGTGGTTCTTTCCAAGTAGGAATGGAAAGTGCGATATTTGCAATTTCACGGAGAAAACGCATGGTTTTTTTCTCTTTTTCACTCCTCTAAGTATTTGTTCTTTTCCAGACTACCTTAACTAAAAGAAAGTAAAAACCTGTCTAAAATGTATTTACTTATCTTCTCATCTCCATTTTTTTCTCTCTCCGAATAAAGCCTGAGAACTTACTTTTAGCTAGCAAATCCAAGGGAGCAGCAGTAAAACTGGCGGACTTTGGATTGGCTATAGAAGTCCAAGGAGAACAACAGGCTTGGTTTGGTAAGTAAATATTTTTTTTGGTTTACTCACCATTTATTGAGTGTTGCTGTTAAGCCTCCCAAACCGCCCAGCTCTCACCCTAGTGTAAAACATCCAGCCATGTGACTACTTGATACGTAGTTTTAAGGGGTATTTTCTTCGTAGTTCAGTCTGTACAGTTGACTACACTTTAGACCTCTTTCTCCAGGGAGAATGTTGTCTGTAATTCTCACCAAACTAAATAGAGCTTGGCAGCAGACCTTACTTGTTTAGGAAAAAAAACACACAAAAAAAAAACCAAAAACACCCCAACCAAAAAAAACAACCAGAAATCCCTGCACACTTCAAAAGTGACCTGTGGCTACATTTCCAAAGCTCAGAGCTCACTTAGACAAGAAGTGGCTCTGCCTCATAGCCTCCTCTTCACTACCAAAGGTAGATCACCTCACCAAACGACATAAAATAAATTGGCAAAGGTCTCTTCTGCTAGCACAACTGTGTTCATACTGGGGATTTTGCCAGTACAGCAGTACTGGTATGGGGCAGGATGGAGGGAGAGGGGTTTGAAATTCATGCTTCTGGTAAATATAACTTTACAAATGTCCCTTTGATTTTCCTGTATTTCTTACATTATTTATGTATGTTTCCCTAAGCAATGGAGTTGAAGATACAGTTCCTAAAGATTAATCTTCTCTCTCTTCCTTTTTTATGATCACTGGTAGGATTGCTTTTCTTGGGTACTTTCTAATTCTCTGTGGCTGAGAGAGGTGCATGGTGGTCTCTTCTCCCAGGTACAAGCGACAGGACGAGAGGAAATGGCCTCAAGTTACGCCAGGAGAGGTTTAGGTTGGATATTAGGAAAAACTTCTTCATGTAAAGGTTGTCGAGCATTGGAAAAGGCTGCCCAGGGAAGTGGTGGAGTCACCATCCCTGGAGGTATTTAAAGGACATGTAGATGTGGTGCTTAGGGAAGTGGTTTAGTGGTGGGCTTGGCAGTGTTAGATTAACCATTGGACTCGATGATCTTAAAGGTCTTTTCCCACCTAAATGATTCCATGATTCTATTCTGTGATTCTGTGTAGTCTAAGTGCCATTGATTTTCTTGACCCTGAAACTTAGGTTTCCCGATCCCTGGCTTGTCCTAGCTTTTGTCAGCCTGTAAGTTTGACTGAGATGTAGGTGCATACAAGCCGCTTCTCTCCTGCCTTCCCCGGTGTATCTGCAGGAAGGAAATGCGGGTGCAGAGCCTGGGATGGAGATGGGTGGTTTCCAGTCAGGTGCTCGGATGGCTGAGGAGCAAACCTGTAGGTTAATCCTGCTGAGTGTACCTGCCCAGTCATCAAAACATTTTGTCTGAACAGTTGTCTGCCAGCTGGGAATACCTGAAAATTTTATTCTGAAGCACTTTGGAATGTGACTTGAACAAAAGAAAAAAAGGGAAAAAAAAAAAGGGGGGGGGAGTACCTGAGACTGTAGACGGTCATCCACATGCAGATGTTGCTGTGACAAGTTATCTGTGCCAGCTGTTTATATTGTCCTAGAGGTGACTGTTCTTTCACATCTGCAAGTAAAACTGTTAATAAAACTGTTCTTTGACCACTGAGGTCAAAGTAAGCTGGCTTATTAAAAACGTACAACCGTTAATATATAAGCAACTCACCTAGCAGGTCACGGAGAGCATAAACTCAGGAAGGTAAAGGGTGGTTAAAAGCATTTGGAACCTTGCACAGTAGTCTGGAAAGGGTTGCCTATCCACAGCTTACAGACATCTTCTGAAGCTGGGACCGGAGTTTCTCAGCCACTTTAGCGATGTTGAGAATATTATCCTCATCTGGAAGGGATCGAGAGTATGTGCTTGCTCAGTGGTGAAGGTGACAAAGATGCAGGGGAATGTGGAAGCAAACTCTGTGTGTGCGTGTGACCACCAGAAGAGAGCACATTCTGGGCTTCAGACCTGCTCCTGAAATGGGGGAAAGGGAGACTGTCTACCCTCCTGAAGGTGGCAGGGAACCGATGCCTGAATGCACCTTACGTGTCCTGTACAGTGCTCCACTTCAGGTTATGAGATAGGATTGGGGCTAGTGAGTTAAATGTTATGCACTGCTCTCCAGTTCCACTAAACTATTCCTTTTTTGTTGTCATTAATTTTAAAAAAATGCTAATTGCAGATTATTACAGTTAACAGATGCCCAAAGGAAAATGATGGAAAAGATGTAATACTGGTCATTTTAAATAATAGCACACATACAGATGTGACGTGTCTGTCTCGCACGCCACCCTCTTTGAAGAGATGTGAAGCACAGGACAAAACTTGTTGTGAATCCCAGGTGGACAAATTACAGAATAAAATATTTATAGCAGCTACCTATTCTCACAGCAGCTAGAAAGTGCAGTTTAAAATTGAACAAAGTGACTGTGAGCTTGCTGTCAAACCTTAGAATAAAAGCAGAAAGGGTTTTGTGCAGGCAGTGGGCTGAGAGATTGAGTGTTTGAAACTAGGATACAGCTACATGGGGATGTGCAGGCAGCACCGTTGGACATATGTTGATAGCTTTATAAGCTAGCCTGTTGTTTTAAATCCCAGTCTTTTATAAATGGATTTCAGTAATCCACAAAAGACAGAGGAGATTGCTCTTGCACATTGACAAATAGACCGGTACAAAAGGGGTGGAAGAGGAATAAGAGAAAACACGAGTGATTTGTTATAATGACAAAACCATCAGGTAAACAGGAAGCATCTCAAGGAAAAAAACTCGGCAGAACAAACTTGACGTCAGGGATATTTTCTCTAGATGATACATCTGTATGGATGCAGATGATGCAAGGAGGTTGCGATTCCCAGTAAAATCTTGCCCTTTATTTTTGTGGTCATTTGGTCCTTGTGAAGTACTTGGTTTAGACTCGTAGCATAATGAGGACTGCCATGCTGAACTTGGTAGAAAGGACATTGAACAGAATGTCTCTGAAATATGTATGTAAGGAAGAGGTCAGCTGGCAGCATGATAATAGAAAGTAGTCTAATGTGGGTCGTCTTTTTTTTAATTTGTGGTATTTGATAAGACTAGAGGGTTCTGTACTTTTCTGGAACTTCCTCTGCAAAACCTTTCAGTCATGGTCTGAGTGCCTTCCTTGGTCATCTTCTGACTGCTTTACCAAAGCAAAACATGAACTCCGATGTGCTCGACATTTTGAACTTTTTCTTGCTTCCTTCCAGAACATTTTTCTGCTTTCCACTGGATTCTGCAGCACTTAGTGACTCATGGTGTGCTCTGATTCTAATTATAGCTCTGCATCAGTATGTGTTTCTTCCCCCCCCCCGGCTTCCTTTTTTTCGTCCTCCTTCTTTTTTGAGTGCAGTCCTCCGGTGTGATGGTCGCTTTTCTACGT